TGGGTGAGCAGATGAGGCCTATTCCTGAGCTCACAGTTGATTTCCTTATAGAGTTGTTGGGAGTTTCTTTTTTTGATGTTGCTAAGGAATCCGTGCAGAGATGTGTGCCAAGAGACGAGGTTAAGGCTTTTTTGCATGTTTGCATAAGCTTCTGACAAGGCTCTTGGGTCTAATGGCTACACTTCCCACTTCTTAAAGATGGCATAGGAGATTATGGGGGAGAATTTGATTCGTGCTTTGTTGTTTTTTTTAGCAGTCTCAGATGTTTTTCACATTTAATGTTTCCTCTTCAGTGTTGGTTCCCAAAAAGCCAAATCCCACTCATATGAGGGACTTCCGACCCATTTCATGTTGCAATGTAGTTATAAGTGTGTCACTCGTATCATAGTTGCACGTCTTAAACCTTTCTAAGCTGAGGTGATTTTATTCCTAGACATAGCATTTGAGACTATACTTTGATGGCTCAAGAGTTGGTTTAGGGGTATAATAGATCTTCCCTATCTCCTAGATGTGTTTTGAAATTGGATTGCATAAGACTTTTGATTTAGTGGATTGGCAATTTTTTATTACTGTTCTGGAAGCTCTTGGATTTAGTGGATTTTATTCCTAGACATAGCATTTGAGACTATACTTTGATGGCTCAAGAGTTGGTTTAGGGGTATAATAGATCTTCCCTATCTCCTAGATGTGTTTTGAAATTGGATTGCATAAGACTTGATTTAGTGGATTGGCAATTTTTTATTACTGTTCTGGAAGCTCTTGGTATGCCTGCAGTTATGATTGCTTGGATTAAGGAATGTGTAACTAATACTTACTTTTATATCTCTTTGAATAGGGGTTTAGTGGGGTATTTTAAAGGGATTAAATGGATTTGACAAGGTGATCATTTATTCACGTACCTATTTGTTATCACTATGAACGTATTGTATAAATTTTTTGATAGAGTTACTGAGTTTGGGGCCATACAATGCCACGGGGTTAAGCTCATTAACTTATGTTTAGTCGGTGACTTGTTAGTGTTATCTAAGAGTACTACAGATTCTATATTGGGAGTTTGGAAGGTTTTAAAAGTTTTTCATAGTCTTTTTGCAACTTAATTTTGGGAGTCAAAACTCATCTCGTCTAGAATGAAAGGGCCTATGTTGATTGAGATTTGTGATGTCACCAGGATTAAGAGTGGAAAAAAAACCCTGATCGGTACCTTGGTATCTCCCTTATTGCTAAAAGGTTAACGTTTAGAGATAATGCCCCGCTTATTGAGAAGATTGACACCAAACTTCAAGGTTGGCAAGCTAGAGTGCTTTCATATGGTAGTTGACTACAATTAATTCAGTCTGTCATTTACAACATTCAGAATTACTAGAGCAATCAGTTTTTGTTACCTGTTGATGTGATAAAAAAAGAATTAATCAACTTTGTTCCCGGTTCTTTTGGAAGGGTGAAGATAAGCCAATGGAAGGGGCAAGAGTGAGTTGGTCCTCCCTTTGAACTCCTAAATCCGAGAGAGGTCTTGGCCTAAACTATTTTAAGTTTTGGAATCATGTGTGTCTTATTGGACTAATAAGGCAACTTTTATTGAATGATGGGTCTATTTGGGTGGAATTGGTGCATGTGTATATCACCAAACATAACTCTTTTTGGCAGATTACATGTTCTTAGAATTGTAGTTGGACATGGAAGTGTTTATTGTAACTTTAAATTAAAGCATGAATGATTCAGGGTTTGTTGGGAGATTCCTTTTCATCTATACACTTAATATGGAATGAATTGAGAGTGCATAGAGTCAAAGTTCACTGGGATATGCTTGTTTAGCATTCGAGGTGTGTTCTCAAATTCTCTATTATAGCTTGGATGACAATTCTGGATAAACTATCTACCAAAGCCCGGCTTATATCATTTGGCATGCCTATTGATGGTTCGTGTGAATTTTGTTTGAATGCTCTGGAGTCTATGAATCATTTATTTTTCATTTACAGCTTCACTAAGTCTGTTTGGGCCGGTGTTCTAAGTTTATGCCAACAGTTTAGACCCGTTCTTGATTGGGGTGATGAGCTGCTATGTCAGAAGTTAAGAGGGAGATCATTGCTATCTGCTTTGCTCCAGCAGACATGAAATTGTTAAGGAGAGAACATAATAGTAAACATTTCAAAGGTGTTGCTTCATCTGCATGCAGCTTGGTTGATCGAATCAAGAAGATGGTTCGATTGAGACTTAGTGATTTGAAGATTAACTCTGAAGGACTAGTAAATAGTGCCCTTTGTATAGCGTGGGGACTTGATACAATTTTGTTCACGAGTGTATATATAGATTTTGTATAGGTGATTTTATATGATTTATGTAATGTGTTGATGGTGTTATTGTGGTTGAGTTTGGAATAAAAAAAACCCAAAATATTGTTCCACATTCATCATTCAAAATATTTATAATAATAACAAAAAAGTAAAATCAGTTCAACATTCATCATTCAAAATATTCCTAAATTTATATTATATATTTATTAACAATAATAAACCAAAAAGGCTGAAGTTTATATTGAATTGTTTTGCTTTTTGAGTTCTAACCTTTCATTATTCTTACAATTTTATTTTTTATTGATTTTATAAAATGAATTCCATCATCGAGTAAATTAATATGAAAAATTATATTTTACAATTCCTTTATTTTATTAATTTCAATTTTACATTAATTTTAAAAATAATAGTTTTTATTGTTTTTATTACACATTAAATTAATTTGATGTGCCAGCGCAAATTTCATTCTTTTTTTGTTTGAAATGTTTTATTAATTTTATTTATTTGTGAAGTATATAATTATATGTATAAAAATAGATAAAAATAAAAAGTATACATTTCGAATAAAATATGATTTGACATGATGAGGAGAATAAAAAAAATATAAATATTAGAAATTGAATCTTCAACGATGAATTAAAACTATAGATATCCTAAGCCCAAGTGCAAGGAAGTGTGAGAATATATGTATAAGTAGGGGTGTTTAATGAGTTGATCCATTCATTAATTGCTCGAATTTGAATAGTTAAAATTTGATTAATATTCGATTTAGGTTAACTCGATTTGAAACTTTAATAAGTAGAGTCAATCAAGGTCTAACTCGATTCGATAAAATTCGCGAACAATTTGTTAAACTTTTTATAAATTTTTAGTTGTTACCTTAAAAAATTATTCTACTAAAAAAATTCTAAATAATAATTAAATTTTCTAATAGATAATAAAATATATGATAAATTACTAATTAATAATTACTATTAATGTTCTAATATGTTAATTTTCTAATAAATAACAAGAAAATTACTAAATTATTAATTTACTACATCCAAAAACTAAACCCTACATAGTATTAGTAGATTTTGATGATTTTTTTATTAAGTTTGTTAATTTATGTTCATATTAAGTTCTACATTATATTAATAGATTTTATCTATAGTTAAAAAACAAGGTAAAAATTATGGTAAGCTTAACGAGCAACAAACGAGTCGAACAATAATTTTTTTAAATGAGAACGAGTAGAGCAAAATTTTAACAAACTTAACGAGTCGAGTCAAACAACAAAATTTTTTTAACGAACACAAATTGAACTCGCTCGATAAACCCTCCTAATCTCTTACAAAATACAAGGAGAATAGAATATTATAAAACCTAAATTGAACTGCCAGTTATTTTAATTTTGTTATATTTCACCTGTTTACCTTGACTCTTGCTCTCAATAATAGTTTTCTGCTCCTGATATATAAATACATTAAACCACAAATAGACATATAAACAATTCGAACATTCAGCGATCTGTTTATGAATGAACATAAACAAGATCTTATGTTCGTTTAATTAAATGAACAAACACGAATAAAGAGCTCGTTCGTTCATTTATGTTCGTAAACATTCAATAATTTGTTCATTTATGTTCGCTCATTTATTTTTGTTTATCTTTGTTCGTTTATATTCAACACAATCTCCAAACATAATAAATTTTAACCTTAAACTCATTAATATTTTAAAATTCAATTAATTTTAAACCCAAATAAAAAAGAATCAATTAAATAAATTATAAACCCTAAAATTATTTGAAAATAATTTTTTATTCTCAAATATAAACCCAATTAGTTTTATGTCGGTTCGTTTACGCTCTTACGTTCATGTCTGTTTGCACTCGTTTGTTTATATTCGTTTATCACTTTAACAAATAAACAAACTATATTTCATAACTGATGAACATGAACAAGAAATTTTATTCATTTAGTTGTTCATGTTCGTTCGTTTGTTCAACTAAAGTTAAACGAACGAACATTGACATACCCTAGTTCGTATTCATTTACAGGCCTAATTACAAAACTAAGCATTGGATTGACATGTTAAATTAGTTATGGCAATTGGTTGCGGGTTCCGCTTTCGTATAACACCATCACCAGAATCATACTCATTGGCGCTCGATCTATACAATCCCAGTATGATATAGACCTGATTTGCTATCGACTCAAATTCAATATCTCACTCGACCCAATTTATCAGACTAGAAATAAATTTAAACTATCCGATTTATGAGACTCGAAATAAATTTAAATTAAATATGATCTGGGTTAAACCTAATTTAAATATAATTTAGATCTAAATTGACCCGACCAAAATCCAAATAACCCGATTGTCACCTCTAACAGGTGCCGGTTGAACAATCTGAGCTGCCTTACACTTTAGAGAGAATTAATTGAAGAGAGGATTTCTTAAAATATTCTCTAATTCAAGACGGGTTTGGAACAAGTAAAACACCCTACAAAACCAATTCAGATTTCAGGTGGAGGATAATACTTCTCGAGTCGGTATCGAGACCGTAAAAAATCCAACCCTACCCAATTAATGTCGATCCCTATATTAAACTAGTTAAAAAAGCAATGAAATTAAAGCTAACTATCAAGTAAAACAAGAAAAAAAAACAATGGAGATGGATGATTTCAACACCCACAAAAATAAAAGTGAACAAAACGATCTCCATTACACGAGCTTGATACTTGATAGACATTCAATGTTCTTGAAATTATGTTCAAATATGAAAATTATGGTTACTCTGAGCAAACTAAATAATTAAAACCGACATTTGTTGATTTTATGAGATTCTACCGGCATGCGTGTACATTACAATACACTAACAACATAAATGCACATACAAGACACGGTTAAATTCGTAGGCTATACTAAAATTGACTCAAATATCAACTCAACTCGTTAAAAATGGAACAAATATCTCACAGATAAGCAAGTTCTGGCCATCTCCAGCCTCCGCATCATGCAAATGGCCCAACGGCACCACCAGCAATTCGTTTTACAAGCTTCTTGCAACCTTTTCGTATAAATCACGTGGCCAATTCTGATGCAGATTATTAGCAAGGAAGGTTGCAATCTGCAAACACCAAGATACCATTATAATTACCCATAATCAAACAAACAAATGCCATACTTGTTTTTTCCTTCTCTCAACCCTGTTTCTGTTTTCCCTTATCATAAGGGGCTTGTAAAGGTTGGGTTTTTATGCTTCATTGTTTCGAAAAGCACCAATCGATAGCCATATAAAAAAGTGCGGAATTTTACACCCATTTCTGATAATGGAAACTGAGATTGCTATTTAAAGAGACCAATATTTACCTTTGATCTCATCGCACGAAGTGACCCATCTGTATCGGTCACATTGTCCAAACAAGTTAGAGCGACCTTTAGCAAGTCCGGCACACAAGCTTGGACATGATGGGACAAATTCTGAAACACATCAGGAGTAATATCGGGTGCTCGTGGATACAATGGAAGGAATGGAAGCCTGGCAACTTCCCTTAGAGCATCAAGGTACTGGCCCAGTCTTGTCAACTTGTGGATAGATAGTATTGCCTCAAGCTGCCGCAATACAGTTTGCTGCTCCAAAACATTTTCCCTCTCTTGAAGACTGGACAATAAATCCAAAAGTTACAATAACGTCCAGAGAAAGCAGGAAGATAAGACCGTATAAAGATTAGAAAAATACAACAATGAAAACAACTGAGAAAAAGGTCACTAAAACATCTCAACCTCAATAATAATGCATGGAATGTGCCAAAACTCAAGAGGAAATGTTAAGTAATATCTAGAGGCAACAGAAGAATTGTTTCTAAAAGAAAGCATCCCACATTTCTTTTTGGCAATTGAAAAAAAAAATCCCACATGATCAGAGATATTTATTAAACAAGCTCATAATAAATACAAAAATCACCGACTACAGAAGCACTGCAAATTTACGGGCAAATTTGAGACTGTTTTCTGAATTTCCCAGTGAGCAAATCATTATTGATGACAATCGCTACCAAATATAGGCACACATGGTAATTTAACATGAAGATGGTTCAAGACTTTCATAACTGGAGCTTAATCTCTTTCTTTTGGGATAAACTGTCTTGAGTGTTAGCACAACCTGATCCCAGGCAAGAATATAAGTTAAAGTGGTTTCTTCTACAAAACATTTACCAGAACGTAGGACAACACAATAAGTAAAATACCAGTAGGTTTGTGATATCAAACAAGTATATCCTAACACCTGGAACAGCCATATTTTAATAAAGAACGAGCGAATGCATGGAATTCAAACAACCTGACTTCAGGATAATATTTGAAAGTCTCCAAGATCTCATTTCCAGAATGAATGAGACCCGCAGTTCGACTCTCGCCATCCAATCTACCACGCGTTAGAGCACAAATTGCTTCGGATAGGCACTTATTTATTGTATCCAACGCCATAGAAAATGCCCCAATTCTCTTCTGAATCTCTATAGACTGAAGTTGGAGAAAAAATTATATAAAAGAAAAAAACCAAGTCATTATTAACAAATAAAAGAAACTAAGGTCAAATGTGGAACCCAGATACAACATTAAAGCAAACCAAATAAGTTTAGAACATGAGGATATAAAAGGGAGCAAACAGACATAAATATAGCATCTAGAGGGCAAAACAATGACTAATAAAACATGAGAGAGATAAATGGGGGAAAGAATATGAGAAGGAATCAACATGACAAACTGTAAATATCAAAGATGATTGTTTGGAATTGTCAACATTCACCCAAATTTCAGCTTCAATTTAAAAAAATCTAAGTGTGACAGCAATTACCAAAACCATAAAATTTGTTGTAGCAAAGAGAGACTTACTTTGTCATACAGCCCTGCCTCTTGACACTGGTGTGCAGCTTCAAGTAGAAACTGTTGTCTTGATTTATGATCAGTCAAAAATCGCCCCAGTTCACCTTCCTCTCCAGCACCTCTTGAACCAAGTAAAAAATAGATCCCACCATCTCGTAACAATAGCTCAGTAAGAAGCTGCTTCAGCATTAAGTTCCTCTGCCTTTGCTGATCCATACTGCCTCTCCCAGTCCATGACACATGCCCACCGCCCACTGCAGCAGCAGCTAGCGCATAATATTCTAGAGTCATTTCGAGGTTACCAATCCGTAGGTGCATAGAGCCATACTGCTTAATAATGCTGGATGCTTCGGCGTAAACATCCATCACCCCAGGTTTTTGCCCAGCTCCAGCACCATCAGAGAGGACACCATTGTCTGCTAGCACAATTGCTATGTGGACAGCATCAATGTTGTATTCTTCATCACCTACTTTTGACAAATACAAAATAGCTGATATCAACTGGATACTTAAAAGCAAGACATACGGGTATACTAGAGGGTCCTTTCCATTTTTTGTGTAATATGATGGCTCGAATTTGTTTAGGTAAGCTTGCAAATCATCCAGACTGTATGGTAATAAACCCTCATTCATAATGACTGACGAGGTTCCACCAGGAAGGTCACGTACTGCAGCCAATATGAACCACAGGAAATCCTCTATAGTACTAAAAAGCGACGGTAGCTCTCTGAGGAGACGGTCAATATGCCTGCGAGAACCAGATATGATAGCATAGAGCAACATTTTTTTCTTATCATATGCAGCCCGACCAACCCGATCGCCCATTCTGAACATTTTTTCACACTCTTCTGCAGCAGCAACTGCAATATCCGCTGGAACCATGCCTCCATTGTTAATCCACTCCGTAAGCTGTCAAAAAAAGAACTATGTAATGCTAATTGTGAAGCTTAAAGGATTGAACGGTATACAATTAGTACCAGTGGAGCAAACTGATGAGATGCACGGGACGAGAGGGCAATTTGTCTTGCTTCATCATAATAACCAGACCTCAAGCAAAAGTAAATCTGTTACACAAAAAGATTGGATTCTTAGTGAAACTTAGTCATTTGAGAAGGGAAAGGGTAAAATATCGGTCAACTACACACTTAAGGATATTTCCAAAATTTTGCAACGAAAACCTAATGGAAAGCGCATTAGGGTGCTGTGCGAGAAATATCCAAAGTTTACCCAAACTTGTAAATGAATCAAAGCTTAGTTTCGCAAATGAAACCAGGGAAAGAAATCATATTCATCATTCATATTTAGGACAATGCTACTTTCATACAATCATGTAAGCAAAGATTTAACACTTTAACACTTCAAGGCACAGTAAAAGCATCCATATCTTATGTCTCAACTATCTTGAACAAAGGAGCATACAAGTACTTTAATAAAGAAAAAGAAAAACTAAATTGGAAGAGAAACCATAATATTTGAAAACCTGTTCCATAATTTATAATGAAACTGAAAAAAGTAACATTAAGATAACAAATAATAAGTCAAAATCCAGATAGTTTACACCTTATAATTGAATTTTCATCACGAATTTGGCTTTAAATAAAACAAGCACAATTAAATAAAACCTGTTGCCAAGTAGTATCAACAGGAGGCTGCCTTTGAGCATCACCAGCATCAAAATCCAAAATTCCATAATCCCTCAAACGAATCTAGACAGACATAGAAAACAGCCTTTAAATAAAGAACATTAACACGATAAAGTTGAACAATCAATTTGGAGCCAAATAGCAAGAAGCAGACCCGGAGAAAGGCACGAACTCTATGCAAATTTCCAACAGCTCCACCAAGAGCAGCCTGCATTGAAGTAAAAGAATGAAATATCAGCACTGGTACCAGTTCAGCATATGAGACAAGTTACAGCAACATGGAAGACTACTCAATTCTTACAATAAACTAAGAAAACAGAAAATAACATCAGAATTTTTTAACAGAAAAGTTGATAGCCGTAAATATTACAACCAAGAATGATTTCAGCATTTTTTATTAGCAGAAGAAGAATAAAATGTTGCAATAGAAGATTCTTACTTGCGCAGGATGGCTTTGTAATGTATCCATAATGTATTTCTCATGTCCCCATTCCAGGTGATTCCTCGCACCAATTACTAATGACATCTTTCTTGAGACACTCCGTTGCATTGTTGAATCCTCACCCATTAATGCCTAACAGAACATTTAGTTAATCACTAATCATTTATCTGACAGAAACAAGCATGAGTAACAATAGTATGTAACATACCTGAATAAGATGCCACATTTTCTGCATGTTAACTGATTTGCCACCAGATGCTTCAGTACCCAAACTCTCATAAGCAGCCTTAAAAGCTGTGGCAGGCTAAAACAAATATGTAAAATCAATAATCATGAATAAATAATAATAATAATAATAATAATGACGACAACAACAACAAAGGATTCAGACAAAAATGTATAATTAACTCAATGCAGAAAAAGTTTCAGACAAAAATGAGAAAGATGGACAGTATCGGACACGAATGTATAATAACCACATAAGAGGTGTATGCACAAACATACATAACACATTACTATTAAAGAAGCAAATACAAAACTTCTAGGAGGATATCTAGTTGTAATGATTTTGGAAAATGGCACAACCAGTTTTTATAACTTGAAAGGAAAGACTGTCGCCCTTACTTTATATGGCAAGCCCTTTTGTCTTGCATTGTTCAAATTTCTAACAACTTCAGCATATACTGACATTTTTTTCTCGACAACTGGCTTGCTAGCTAAAGGTACAAGCTCCATGCCAGAAGGACCTGATGAAACCAGAGAACTAGAAGCCATGGAAACTATTTGCGCAGAATGAGAACCACTAATGCTTTTATCAATCATGTTAGCCTTAGGCAATGTTGAAATCCTGTTCAAGCTCTGTAAGAAGTCACGTTTTTCTTTTTGCCAGTCTTCCTGCAATGCATTAGGCACCACCATCAATCAATCGTGTAAAAACAAAAATATACTCTGTCCTAATCATCATCAATTTGTTAATAGTTATGTTTGATGTATCAAAGAGTTTCATCATGTCTTTTGGTGCTACATAATTACTTGATAAACAAGAAACCCACAGATCAAAATTATATGTACAGCATAAAATATATAAATTTCCCATAAGAGAAAAAATACAGAAAATATTCTTCCCTTACACTCAAAAGTGGATGATACAAACCTCCAACACTTTCATCATATAATCATTAAAACTTCGGAGGTTATCTTTTTGAGCTTCTTGGATGGCCGAAACCATTGCCATCTCATGAACCTGAGATCAAAACATTCCAAAAAAGGGAACTCCAAAATTAAGCAGCAGTAGCCTGTTGAGGAGTGACCAAATGGCAGAATTTACTTAGTAAGATAAACAATGACAACTATCTTACTTGGGGGATAAGAGTCAAATAGGGCATATGTCCAATACAGGCATGCTCAATTTTTTTTGGTTTTATTAATGTCGAAGATCATACCACCATACTCGTGTCTGAATATGTTAGGCATGAGTATCAGACACAGGTGCTTCGATAAAAATGAATGAAGACTTGTTCAAAATAGCAACATCCAAGACACCTTACTTGAATTTCTTATATGATGATCATATGAATATATACTGAACAACCTGATGATTATAACAGGGGAAAAAATACATAACAGCACAGCACTTATGCATAATATGCCCTATGCAATTTCCACCACAAAAACACAAATGAAAACTGCAGTACCTCCATAACCTGCTTTATAGTAGGTTATACAATACATCTAATTCTAAAATTTTCAAAAATAAAGTTTCCTTTCATGAAGCACCATATGCAGAACGAAAATCTATAATCATGCCAAATACCCTCCTGTAAAACCAACCGTAAATACAAAAAAAATGATATAAAAAATAAATATGGTGGGGAAACAAGTTACAAGAACAAGAAATATAATCAAACGCTCGATGTGAATGGAAAAATGTATCCTTAACTTTCCATATAGAAGGGAATTAAATCCCTAGATGGCAGGAAGCCAGGAAAAAGGGTTAGCACCCCATCCGCTCAGGGATTCCACCCCCTAAGGGAGTATATTTAAGAAGAAAAATAAGCATCCATTTTGCATTAAAAAAACACACTAATTCCATGATTTGTCTATTACTTGGTTCGCATTGAGCTTATGTTCTTAGCAACCATATTGAAATAATTCACACAACACACAGCAGTGCATATAAAGTAAAGACAGTTGGGTACAAACAAGTTACATGAACAACAAATATTCCCGTGCACTTTAGCTAACTCTTTAAGAGGAGAATAAATATAATTTTTAGTTAGTAGAATAGGGGAGAATAAACCCTTGGAATGGTAGTAAGCCAGGAACCTGGGTTAGAACCCCTGCCTTGCAGTAATTCCACCCTAAGGGAATAGATTTGAAGAAGTTCCCATTTTGCATGGAAAAGAACATCCAAAAGGGCAACAGTTAAACAATGCCATCTTTTATCTCATTATTTTGTTCACTGACTTTAACAGTCAAATTAAAATAATACAGCAATGCATATAAACATAAACTAGAGAAAGGCTTAATAAGTAACATGAGATACTATCATACACCTGATGCAACTTTGTAAGAAAAGAACTATACTTTTTTTTTTTTTGCATTTCGTGGATTTAAGGGGAGTAAACCCCTGGAAATGGCAGGTCAGGAAATTGGGTTAAAACCCCAGCCATGCAGAAATTCCACCTCCAAAGGGAAAAGGATTGAAGAAATATCCATTTTGCATGCAAAAGAATATTCAAATGTTCAACCAGTTTAAATAATCATTCTAAACTAAAAAGTCAAATTGCAATAATTCCCTCATGCATAACTGCTATATGCTCTAACACGAAAGAAATGTCATTAGCCAGGGAACATACCAGTGATTGACCATTGTAAATGAAAATGAAATTATAAGCATTAAATTGGAAGGGAAAACACTACCTGCTGCAGATACTCCTCAACACTTGTTGCTTCAGCAGGGAAAACATCCTCAAACGTGGTCTTTGGAAAAAATGATCAATTAGAGGGAAAAATGGTTTGTGAGGTTGGAGTCAAAGTGAATAAAGAACTATGGAAGTAAAAAAAGGAACTCAAAGCAAGAGTGTGAAGCAATCTATGGAAAAGCTCTCAAAATTGAAATCCTTAGCGTTGAATACATTTAGATACCAAAGTAGTATTTATACAATAAAAATCAAAAGCTGGGATCAAATATCAATTAATAATAGCCTTATTCATTAAACTTTGGAGAGAAATATCCTTTCTTGGCATATTAACCTATATAAAAAAAGTACTAATATCTACTCCCTAAATATTCATTAAATAAAGCCATCTAAAAACAGGTAAAAATTTACAAAAGATTTTAGATGATTATTGAGTAGCTGAAGAAGCTTAGCTACAATAAATCAAAATGTGGAATGTGAGATCTATTTACCTTCAATTCAAAAGACTTCAGATCGCGTGTAAGCTGCTCAGCATTGATTCCCTCACGTGCAAGTAACCTTAAAATGCAATTATTTCATTAGGTAAACAAGAAATCCGCATAATTAAACGAAAGATAGCCTGCCATATTGTTGTTTAAAACCCAAGTCAACAACCAACAACTTCCTCTCACTTTCTAAGCCAGCATTCTATCAGTTAAACTTAAAGTAAATACAAGAATTAAAATCCTAGAATTACCGTGTGGCAGCAATAGATTGGGAAGGAGCCTCAGTTCTTAAGGTTTTTGCCTTGAGTTTCTTTGATAGTGCTTCTAATTGATCCAAGTTTCTCTGAATAAATATAATTAACGTAACAAAAGTCAATATAAACCAGATGTATACTTGAACTTCATTCAGTTAAAAGAAATTAAGGACAAAACTCCATTTGTTTGAACCAACAAATAAATAAACCTCCAACCAAGGTTTTTATACTAATATCAAAGATTAACTTGAATATCATTAAATTCCATAGAAATTTATAAAAAGAAAAATACCACTAAAACTTACTGATAAAATCAAGGATATAGTAAGTTCATATAATATCATCATAATAACATCTAATCAGTTAGATCAATAAATAATCAATAGTAGCATAGATGCCAAGATCCTCAAACAATGGAAAAAGGGATAATTAGAGTGAATATTATGAATATCATAACTCATGCTTCCAACCAAAACATGCAAATCAATATGGCCGAAATGGGGAGAATATATTATATTATTATAATATAATGGATGAACAAAATCAAATTTGAATTTAAATCTAAAAGCGACAACACATATTACAATTATGATGTGTTCCTACATTATTTTGGCCAAAATGTCTATAAATTTTCCTTAACCTCCAGGCTATATCTCTGAAAAGAAATATTCTGATGAATCCCCATTACTTGGTGAAAAAAGAATATTAAGTTGATCAGATTATATATTAAAGCAATCAACATATGTTGACAGAAAAAGGTCTCTGCCAAGCTTAATTTTCCATCATTAATAGACATGTGAAATTCAATGTCTTGATTTTCATATTTTCACTTTGATTAAGCAGAGCACATAAATAGAGCATTGCCAGATTAATGATATAAACCACATCAGCTGAATTAATCTCAACAAGCAAACATATATAGGAAAACAGATTGGTTCTTTGTCCATAGTAAAACATCCTCGGTCATTATATTAGAGCATAGAGATGAACCAGATATTAGTACTGGACTGACATTTAGCAGAGCTTTCTGCTCTCTATTCTCTTGAACAATGTAGGATCATAAAACCCAAAACTCCTAACTTCACGTCATGCTAGCACATTTTCTCACAACCAGAGAGTAAAGGAGATACAAAACCTTAATTAGACTCGAAAAAATAAGTTCCTTTCTATTTTAATTTGCACCAGGAAAAGAAGTGAAAATGTCAGGATTTTAACAGTCTTTTCCTGTTCCAAAGCTGCAAAAATCCAAATACAGCATTACATCTGTGGCGATCAATTCTAGTTCCTTAGTCACAACTACTACTCCTCATTTTCCACAATTTCAAGGCACTGAATGAAGCATTAACAGCTAAATACATCTGGTCAAGTATAGAAGATAGAACTGGGTTCTCAACTCATAATATCGGAAAAATTTTCTGATTTCCTCATCATCCAAGCAATTTTCCCATCAACTAAACTCAAAAGATCAGACGATTAAATGCTAGCAGGTATTTTGAGTCATGAGATTCCAGATTTCCTTGGACGAACAAAATCTTGAACTAAACAATGTTATTAGAAATCAATATTATTCAATCCTGGCAACTTTTGCATATTGACCCTAACCCTGTAATTTCCGTTTCCTTCCCTATATTTTCTAACATGAAGTCGTGATCGTTTTCTTCTTTACATTTTTTCCGGAAATGAGAAAAAGAACACTACAAAACCTAAATGAGACTTAAGAAATTCCATTTAAAAAAACTTAATTTACAGAATATATGAACCATTGAAGACTTCCCACACTTGGATACCGTGAAAAGGGAAAAAGAAATCAAATCCTATTTGTTTTCTCTTTTGCCAACGTTTTCTCGAGTCATTAAAAAGTTAGGATTCTGGATTCAGGCGTTAGCTGCATTTTTTATTGAAAAGGAAAGGAGACAATGAATAAAAAATAATAGAAAGAAGCACCTGGAGAGGAGGAAACTGAGCAGAAGGAGCAGCTTGCTCGAGAAGCTTGGAGGAAGAGTGGAGAAGATCGGTCCAGCTGCTCATGTCTTGCTCACTCGCCATTGCTAAGCTTTCCGTTCTCATCTGAGAGGGAAATATCGAATTTTAGCCTTTTATACTAAAACCCTAAATTAAAAAAACAATTTTTTATGTACTTGTGATACCCTAAATTAAAAAAAATGTAAAGTATAGTAATGGTCATCCAACTTTTAAAATTTGTAATACAGTCTCCTAATATTTAGTCCGTTTGTAATATGGTCTCTAATATTTAGTTTGTTTGTAATATGGTCCTCGACGTAACCGGTCGTTACATTGTCGTTAGTACGTTTGCAATATGGTCACTGGACTTTTCAGGCGCTTGCATTTAGGTCCCTCAACTTTTAAAACTTACAAAACAATCCTAAATTTCATTCTAAACCCTAAATTTCTTTTTGATCTCGAATTTTTTTTTCACTTCTCTCTTCTCATTTCTAGCATAACTTTTCAGTCGGGGATGCAAGGAAAATTCTAATCTAACTTTGAATTATGTTGAGGTGTTGGCTTGAATAAGAGTCCATTGAGAGAAGACTCGACTAAGGGACTATCGGGACCATCAACGATTCAAGGTATAATGTTAGATACATGTCATCTCAGGTGAAGCATAGATGTTCGATGAAATGCTTGTGAGAAAAAATGGGGTTAGAAATGCATAGTTGACAATAAGATGAACTAAGTATCATTGTTGAAAGTCGCCAACAAAGCTGGAATTATTTTGTAAATGGCATATAATAATTTCTTCGTTTAATCTTTGTGGTTAAAGATTTACCAACAGATGATCAAATATAATGAAATCCCAAACAGCGCATTCAGCTTTCAGCCTCTTTCACTCATATGCACTCTCGTTTGGTTTTTGTTCTTTATTTTTTCGCCATGTACAATTTTACATGTGAACCTAAAAGAGACTGGTGAACCTAAAAGAAATTTTATCTCACAAGTATTTGATTGGCTCATGGATAAAGGGTTGTATATTTACGCATAGTTTTTTAAGTTATTATATTGATTTTAACCTTGGATTTTGTTTTACGTTTCAATGAAAGTATTGATTAGTTAAATTTTCAATAGCTTGATGATCCGATTATTTCTTCTTAAATTTTTTAAAAAGAATTATTAAACCCTTAAATCTTCGTTTCCTATCATTGATCGTCATTCGCAACAAGATTAATATCAAAATGTTTCTCACTCCTCTTTCTTTCTTATCAGATTTATTTTTCATAAAAATCCACTCAAAATCGATGAAAATTAAAGAACAAAAACCAAACGAGAGTGTGTGTGAGCGAAAGAGACTGAGAGGTGAATGTGATGTTTGGGATTTCATTATATTTGATCATCTGTTGAAAATCTTTAAGCATAAGCATTAAACGAAGAAATTATTATATGTCATTTATACAAAATAATTCCAGCTTTGTTGGTGATTTTCAACAATGATACTTAGTTCATCTTAGTAGTATTTGTCAACTCTGCATTTCTAACCCCATTTTTTTCTCACAAGCATTTCATCAAACATCTATGCTTCACCTGAGATGACATGTATCTAACATTACACCTTGAATCGTTGATAGTCTCGATAGTCCCTCGGTCGAGTATTCTCTCAATGTACCCTTATTTAAGTTAACACCTCTACATAATTCAAAGTTAGATTAGAATTTCCCATGCATCTCCAACTAAAAAATTACGCTGGAAATGAGAAGAGATAAGCGAAAAAGGAAATTCGATATCGAAAAGGAATTTGGGTTTAGAATGAAATTTAGGATTGTGTTGCAAGTTTTAAAAGTTGGGGGACCTAAATGTAAGCACCTGAAAAGTTAAGTGACCATATGGAAAACATATTAATGGCAGTGCAAAGCCGTCAAACGGTCGGTTACGTCGAGGACCATATTGCAAATAGACTAAATGTTGGGGAACCATATTGCAAACGGACTAAATATTGGGGGATTGTATTGTAAGTTTTAAAAGTTAGGGGACCTAAATGAAAAGTTTAGAAAAGATTAGTGACTATTACTATACTTTACCCTTTAAAAAGAACATTTTTATGTACTTGTGGGATATGCTTGGGTTGGTATTCCTTCTTTTATATCTTCTTTCTGTTTTTCTTGTATTCAAGGAAAGTCGCTAAAAATTTTATTAGTTAAAATATAATTTTAATATTTGATACAAAAAGAAACGTACGAACCATGCTACATCAATAGTTGAAAGTATGATTGTTATTTCTAGAGATTTCGAATTCGAGTACCAACGACTTTTAAACAGGTATTGCTTTATGATCAGTCAAAGATTACTCAAAAAATTATGCAATTGGTTTTTATTAAAAAGGAAAACTATTTAAAATTAGGCATAATACCTAAATAATTGCCCAAACTATACTTTGTTTCTCGAATAGGTACCTATAGTATTTTTTGGACCATCCATATGCCTAACGTTACAAACATGACCACTTTAAGTGCATGAGACATAACGGTCGTTAGTTTTCTCTGTTATGAGACATGTGTCACAATCTATTACTTTTAAAAATTATTTTTTTTTTAAAAATACTCAAATCCCTAAAATTCTCAAATCCCTAAAATTCTCAAATCCTAACACTAACTTGCAGTCGCTGCCCTTTCTGGCCACGACCACCGCCATCGACGTAGTCCATGTCATCATCCTAGTTGTATGTAACCGTAATTGTCGCCGATTAGTTGTCGAAATCGCGTGGGATCACAATTTTCATCATGGGGTTCACGGGGTATAAAACATCGATCTTCGTCGATCGACCGACGGTCGGTCACGATTTCATAGGGTTTTTGGTCGCCGAGGGGAGGTGAGGTCCATTGGAGCTTCGTCGATGGCAAATGGAGGAGATTGACGTTGGTTTAGGGGTTGAAATGAAAATTTTTAGAGTTTTGGGTTTATTTCAAAATTTGTGTGTTTTCTTTTTATAAAATATATAATTTTATTTTTTAAATTTTGTATAAATATTTTAAATTTATCATATTGTGACACGTGTCATTTAACGGAGGAAATTAACACTATTGATGGCCCGGGCACCTAAAGTGGTAACGTTTGTAACGTTAGGTACCTGGATGGGCCAAAAAATACTATAGGCACCTCTTCAGGAAAAAGGGTATAGTTTGGCCACTTATTTGGTTATTAGCCTTAAAATTATAATGAAATTCTCAAGTTAAGCACATAATTAGAATATTTTTCTATAATGATTAATTTAATAAAATATTCACTCGAAATCATATAAAGTATGTATAAGAAAGAGGTTAAAATCCATCCAAAAAACTCGAACAAAACATAGCTATGAATAAATTTAATTGCATCAATAAACGAACCACAGAAAGGGGATTAAACTATTAAAAGACCATCGACAATCGCAAATAAGAATCAATCTTCGTGAAAAAAATATCTACGTACGCAAATCGCATATCAAAATCCAATCTGAGAGTCTAAAACAGAGAAGATCAACAAGATAACATATAAGCATCATCTTGATCATTGGAGACGATGTCAAATTCAACCCTGAAAAAATAGCCAAAAAACTGTCATTACCACTACCACTACTACTACCACCACCACCACCACTATCACTACCACCACTACCACCACTACCACCATTACTACTATCACCACTTCTACTACCACTACTACTGTTACCACTACCACTACTACTATAATAACATGCTCGTTCTGAAAGTAATGGGTTATACAAAAAAGGCTATTTGAGCATGTAAGTTCACACCCTAAGCAGATGTCGCAGTTGATACCAACACTTTGGAAAAAAAATTGATCTTAAACCTCATGGTTGATTTTCGTTCAACCATTGTTACATAATGTGCTTTTTTATTTCCTCAAGAGACTAGTAATTTTTGCACCTTTAACCGATACTCTCTACATAAAGGAATCAAAGAAATTCCCACTACATTGGTTACTTCCATTTGTTTGGGTTTCTTTAGGAATAGTAGCTGCTTTAACATGTGTGGTGGCAAAATGAATTCTCAAGGGAAAAAACAATGAAGGTAAAATAATAGAGTAGTGGCAATGCTCGTGATAAGAGTGGATAGTTGGGGTAATCTCACTGCGCTCACACTTTTTATGGAATAACAAATTGTTAAGTAAAGGTTAAAGGAGGTGTTCATTATTCTTGGCGTAACATCCAAATCTGATCCGACCCAGAATCCGAGAGATTTGGATATGACACGAAACCACCAAAGTGACTAATCGTTTTTTTTTTCTTTTTTTTTTTTGAAAGCATAAGTTACATATAAATCCATCCATAGTTAAAACATGTAACCGTTTAAGTTTTTTACAAATGGGGAGCTCCCGAAATAGTGATTCAAAATAACATCAGAGTTTAACAGAAAGAGTTATGACTCAGTTATACAAAAAAGTCTATGAAATACATACCCACTAAAATAAATGAGAAGTGCTTTAAAGCTTGGTATAATATGGAATCCACAATCTAACGATAAGCTCCTTGAACCGACACCTAAGAACTTGCGAATGGAAAAAATTCCAAATGTTGATCTACACGCTCAGTGCAACACAAATAACTCTACTATAATACGTGCATTAATCACATGCTTATGCTACAAGTATAGTCATGAGGCATCCAAAATACTTCAAGCATGAGGCATAGCAAAATGTCATATACGAGCGAAACATGACATGTATATATATATAGCGGCCTTGCCAACGATTAACGGAAGTGCCTTGCCATTGATACTAAAGTGCATTAGCATTGATAAGAAAGTGCATTATGCACTAATACAAAGTGACTTAGCACTGAAATGAGCATAGTCGAATATCTCAGCATATTCATTAGACGATATTCACACATTTAAATAGCTCTGGTGTCCTCGTCGTTTTCCCGAGTATTGAACAAGGCATAAGTCTTATGAAGTCTTACTTATGTTGATCTTATGTTATCACACAAAGTTATTATTTTCACTTGTAAGGTTTTAATAGGGTATCATCATTAGTCTTAACCTATCTCGGACCCCCTCGGTCTGAAATAGTTTTATAACCCTTACTGTCTATGTAGTATTGATACTCGTCCGTACG